TGGATCGTGCTTTTTTGCGCTAAAACAAATTGTTTTTGCGGCACTGATACACCTGTAGAATAATATTCAATTAGGCTAATGGCTGCTGCTTCCATTGTTCAGTGAGAAGCAGTGATTAGGAACCTCGGGGTATGGTTCAGTCTGCATCAATTCCTGCTGCACACCTGCACCTGTCCTTGCTCAGCCATCCCACGGGAAATAAAACCTTTGTGCAGGTAAACAAAGGAGCTGGAGGATGACCTTTAGCTTGGGCAGAGAGGCTGCAGGGTTTGTGACTGTCCACCTGTCAGAGCTGACCCCTCTGGCAGGGATGCTCCAGGCTGGGATGAGGAGACAGAGCAGGGAAATGTTGGAGGGAGTGGGATGGGGGACTCGGGCTGGCACCTGAGAACTTGGGAATGGGGGATTCAACAAGTGACTGCACTCAAATGGTGATTGCAGGGTAAGGATCAGCCCTGGAGTAGGAGGAAAGGAAAGGAAAGGAAAGGAAAGGAAAGGAAAGGAAAGGAAAGGAAAAAGGAGGAAGGAAAAAGGTCAAAGAATACAATCTCTGCAAGATTGTTTACATTTTCTAATCTTTCATAAACACATAATCCCAGTTGTTTGTTCTTGCCTTTGGGTGACTGAACGTGTATCTTACCTGATAGAATGGTGGAAAATGGAGTTTCCTCACACCCAGGCTTCATTAATATGTATTGGAAACCTAAAACGGTATTCAGCCACGAGGGGGGAAAACCACAGAATTGCTGTGGATTATAATAATTGCAGCAAAGCATCTAATTTATATATTAAGCTTGCTTAATGGATTTATATTGCCTTGCTCTTTGATCTGAAGCAAAAGGTGGTGAATAATTTATCAAATAAAAAACCCTCCCCTAGCCCAGCCCACACGTCACAATCTGCCCTGCAATTTACATTTTTTAAGAGATGCTGTTTCCAGGCAGAAGACCTGGTTCCTAAAAGACTCCTTCTAATATTACAAATGTATTTTCCTGAGCTACACTCAGGGGAAAGAAATAATAATGAAGGAATGCAATTCTACAGACAAATGTTCCAGCTCTCTGCCTTCCTCACTAAAGACAGTCATTTCAGCTAAATGCCAAAAGGCATTTAACTGTAGCATTTGTCAGTGGAATAGGGCTGGCTTTAGGTTTCCCTCCTGATTTACAATTGAGTGTTTATTGGGTTTAGTGTACTGTAGCATGTTTTGTTAACCTCTAGCAAAAGGCAGGCAGCTCGTGCATGAATCACAGGGATGATACCTGTCAGGGGAGCCTGGGCTGCAGGGCTGCAGGCTCTGGGGGAAGGATTCTGGCTGCTCCCCCAGGGCAGCAATCGGGCCCTGGGCTGACCTGAGCCCAGCTCCTGAGGTGCTTGCTTGTGAGATGTGTCATCCATCTCTCCATGTCTTCATTTTTCAACCAAAAGAGGGTGAAAGTGCTGCGTGGTGGCAGCTTCAGGGAGCTGGGGGAGCTGCCGGAGTCACCTGCCCAAGGAGCCTTTAGGTCACTAAATTAGGTGTTGTTTAAGTGTTGTTTAGGTGTTGTTTAAAGCACAGTTATCGGGAACTCTGTGCCTGGAGTTCCTCAGCTGGTTTGTGCCTACCCAAGGGAGTTCTCAGCAATGCCAGCTCCAGGTGACAGCAGTGTGTGCACTCACAGCTCTCTCAGGGCTCCTGACACGTCTCCCATTCACTTTTCCTCCACATTTGTCCAAACCCACCAGTTGTCAGACATTTACTACGGCTGTGTGCAGCGTTGATTCATATTTAAATAAAGCCATTATCCCGGCCTTGAGTTCCAGTAGTTTTCTGCTCTTTCTCTTGAGTATTTCTCTCAGTAGTGCCATCTAATCAGCTTTAGGTTTTAATTAAACAGCTGTCATTTGCTTCCTAGTTCTGTTGCGACCTGATGTTGTATTAAATTTTAATTTAGCCTGGGCTGCATAAGAAGTAGATTCCTTCAGACAACAAAGAAATGCTATTAGCAGGTTACAGTTGTAATTAAGAAAAGCTCTGCTGAAGTGCTAATGCAGTCAGGTAGAGAGCTGCAGATAAACACACATAATAATAATTATTATTATTCAGGGATGGAGCCTGTGATATGAATGTGTAGCTTCCAGCCAGGCTGCTGAGCTGAAGGAGTTGGTCAGGATCTGACCTCAACAAAAGAAATGGGGAAGGATTTCCAGTTTTTCACCAGGGTCCTTGCAGTGCCCACGGTTGGAGGATGGTGCTGGTGGTGCCTGGCTGTTGGTGCTGATGCTTCACTGTGCCCCATGTGGCAGGACCAATGACCCCTCTGTACACTCCAGGTGCTGTCAAATCACCAGCACAGGGAGATGAAGCTCAGCAGCTCTTTTCCTGCAGGAAACTCTACCGTGGAAATGCAAACCAAGCTTTACAGAATTCAGATGAAATGTTATGACTTGTTGAAGAAGCAGTAAAAAGTCTGTTTATAAATCTACTGGACAGTCAATTAGTTCATATTTCTTCCTCAGAGGAAATGTATTTTTGCAGTCTATAAATAGCCAGCTCTTAAGAAGGCCTTTACCTAGCCTATTATATTTGTGTAACACTCACTGCAGGCATCAGGCCTCTGAGATATTGATTTCTCTGGAGCTGCTGAAGGGCAGGGTTTGTGAGTTTGCACCAGCCAATTAGCACGGTGGGCTCCTGCGTGTGCTGGGGAACTCAGGACAGCTCTGGTGCTCGTGCTTGTCCCATGCTCATCTTCACCAGGAGCTTAGGAAAGGAATGCAAAGCCTTTATGAGCTTCACATTGTCCTTCAGTGCATCAAAGTCTGAGGGCAGCTTTGGCAGCTAAAGAGCACTGAGGCTTCAGAGGGGGCTGGGGGCTTGTGCTTTGCCACACAGGGTGGCCAACACCTGGGGGAAGAACAAACAGCACAAAAAACAAACAAGAAATGGATCAGGCTTGCTGAGGAGCTGGTTCCAACCCACCAAGGTGCAGAGAGCCCTTTAATCCTGACTCAGTGCTGTTTAATCCTGACTCAGTGCTGTTTAATCCTGACTCAGTGCTCTTTAATCCTGACTCAGTGCTCTTTAATCCTGACTCCCCAGTGCTTTGGATCGGGCTGTGATTGCCACAGGAGCTGCCTGCCTGACCTGGAGCAGTTCACAGCTGTGCTAACAGAGAGGTGGAATTTGTTTTGTGCTCATTGCTTGTGACCTTGGCCAAAATAGATTTTCCCCAGATGGGTTGAAGAACACCATCTATTGTTGGAGAATGTTGGAGAATTGCTCTTCACGAGCTGTTTGACCCAGGACCACCCGGTCTTCATCAAATGTCTGATATTTGAGGGCTTAGGATATATGGGATGTTTGCAGTGGTGAAATCTAACCACCTCTTCTCTGACTTGTGGATGAATTACCTTCCGCTTCTCTTTGCTGTCTTACAAAACCTTTTTCCACCTGAGGTGCACCTAAGTGCTTTCTTCCACCTGGCAGTGCATTTTCTCCTCAGCCTTTTCAAATTTCAGTCCCTGTAAAGGATTTTCAGTTGTTTTTTTCACACTTCCACTTCTGTCACTTACTCCTCTCTTTGCCAGTGTCCCTCTCTCCTGGCTGGCAGCTGGTTATAAATGAGCCTGTTCAGCAGAAACAAAAACTAGACAGTCATTTACTGTGTAAAACATCTGGTTTGTGCCTCGCAGAGAACAGAACAAAGCCTGTACTTATTTCCTGAGGTGTTATCCAAAAAGCCTCTCTGCTCAGGATGACTCTTAAATCACATTGAAGTCTGAGTGTGGAGCTGAGCACGTCCTTTCAGTGCTGTTCTGACCAGAAATGGACCCCAGTGTGTGCTGGATGCTGTTCTGGCTGCCCATAAACCTCTCTGAGGCTCTGGAGGTGGCTGGCACTGCTGTTATTAGTGCTGCAGCTCATTTAATTCAGGACGCTTTTTGTAAAAGGTTCCGAATATTGATTAATAATACATCTTAGTTGCAAGTATTTATTGGTCTTCTCTAGCTGTCCTTAGCTTGTGGTCAATGCCCATTACTCTCTATCAATCTAGCCAGCAGCCAGAGCAAATGATAGTGAATATATCTCCCTATGCAAGCTGCCATCAAATTTTTCACTAAAATCCATTCCTTCTTCCACCAATTCTAATAATGGAATTTAAAGTTAGATTAGTTTGAAGCAACTTTTTTATTTTTTTCCCTCCCAACTGGCAAGCAATTAGTTTTATGGAAGTTGAAAAATGAAAAGGGGATTGATTCAGAGCAGTATTTCCTATTGCAGGCTTTTTGAGGGGGCCAGGATGAATCCCTGTGAAATCCCAGATCATTCCTTGCCCCACTTGTCTGTCAACTTTTGGGCTGGCAGTCAGCACTGCTTCTGCAGAGGCTGTTCCCCTCCAGCCTGGACCTGCCTATGCCAGGCAGAGGCCTCTGTAGCAAGTAATTAATCAAAGTGAGACAGAGAGGAAGGCTGTGTAATGGAGTCATTAGAGTGCCAGCACTGTGAATTCATCAGGATTACAGATAAACGTGGTTAAGCGTCTCTAGGTGGGATTTTGTTGGGGAAAGACTAAAAAAATTGTATGTGGATGCACAGTTTTTCTCCTAATGTATTTATGGAAATAAATGGTCGACTCACAGCAGAGTGAGCTGGAACAGGAAGGAGGAAATGCTGTTGTGATGGTGGATAATCCCCTCCCAAAGCAGTGGCACCTTTGGGGCAAAGGGCTGGGAGGGATGCTGATGCCCTGGAGATGCCACCGAGCAGTGCTGTGCTTACAGATGCCACTGCCCTCAGCCAGACCTGCACATGGGCTCAAAAGGAGTTTGTCAGAACCAGGGCTTGGTGGTCCTGATGCAGCTTTTGGCTTAGAAAGCTGCTAAAACATTTCAGGGAGCTGGAAGGGTGCGTGCAAGGGAGGGTCCCATCCCTGTGCCTGTCACTGTCGTGGCCCCTGTGCCATTCTCGTGGTGTTGTGCTGCTCTAACACTCGTCCTGTGTTTGTGTGTGCTCCCAGGACACAGAAATCCTCAACACAGCCATCCTCACGGGCAGGATGGTGGCTGTGCCAGTCAAGGTGGTCGCCGTGCAGGAGGACGGCTCCGTGGTCGACGTCTCGGACTCCGCCGAGTGCAGATCCGCCGACGAAGACGTCGTGAAGGTGAGGCACCCACACGAGTTTGTGTGTTTTATTCCTCCTCCAGCCTCCCCACGCTGGGATTTTCCATCAGCCAGTCGTTCCCCAGTGCTGGCTGCTGCCGTGGAGGGGAGGATGGAGCTCCCAGAGGTGCTGCACAGCCCCGTGGCTGCTCACATCTGCCCAGGTGTTCCTCTGCTGCCAGGGCTGGCGTGGCTGATGTGTCCCATGTGGGGAGACCCAGAGGGGTCTCTGTTCCTCTGGGGCTGTGCCCTGCCCATGGGTTCACAGCAGAAATGCAGAATATTGGCACAGGGGGCAGGAAGCTTCCTTCGTGCTCTGGCTGCATCGCCACTCAGGAGTTTCTTAAAATGATCCTGAGCTGTACCAACATCTGGAGGAGAGGGACAGGGATAGGAAATAACAATCATACTGCAAAAAGTCTTAAAATGACAGCTGCGAGCTTTTAACAATGTTGTGCTGTGTTTTAGTGGGGTTTTTAAAATGTTAGAGTGGTTCTGTCTCCCTGACATTGCAATGAAAATTGTGTTGATGTGACTTTACCAAGACTCTGCCTGCCTGACTTCTGACACCACTGCCTGGCTTTCAGCTTTTAGCTCATAATTATTATTATTAAACATAAAAGAGGTGCTTTTGACTATCTTGAATATATTAATTTGTTTTATTATGTGATTTGGGGATGTTCTTGTTTCAAATGAACTTAAAAATTAAGTACAGTATTGAGTACAGTATATATTGAATTCTGTATGGGGTGGGGTTTTTGGTATTATTTATGGGTTCCATATTTTCCCTTAAGTATCAGATAGAGAAAGAAAAAAAATCCCATTTTCTTTTTCTGGAAACCAAATTTCTTTGAAGGTCCTTACCAGAGGAACATGGATGAATATCTTTGTTTATAACTAGATTAATTCTCAAAGGAAAAGACTGCCTTGATAAATGTTGCTATTCTTTACATTTTTTTCTCTGTGTAGCATACAGCTATTATCTGATTAGCGACTATTATTTATCAGTTGATAAACATGGTCAATTAATTGATATTATAAACTCAAGCATTGAGTTGTATATCACCAACGTATTGCTGGGACTGTCTTCTTTTTGCACTTCAGAAAACCAGATCCAAAAGCTGCTGTGTGGGGACTTTTATTTTTATTAATTGAGTTCCTAGGACTTGCTGTACTTTGAGAATACTGGACTGAACCAGACAGGATTTACAATGTTTTGTGGGTTTGGTTTTTTTTTGGTAGTGACTTGATATAAATCAGGTTTTAATTTGCCTGCTTTAGGAAATTATCTGGGTCTCAAATCACTGACAGTAGGCAATGCCCCTGGGACCCTCTCCCAGGCCTGGTACCTGTCTCTCAAATCTTTGGACATAGTGAACAAACCCAAGAGGTCTGAATGTTGTCTTTGCTGAGTTGATATTGCCTCATCCTGGTGGTAGAAACGGGGACTAATGTTATTTTTGTAAAAATTGCAGCATACTTGCATGATTTCAGTCACAAATTGCTGAGACCGGATGCTGTTCAGGCATAATTTTTTAACTGCAAATATATGTACTGGTTGCAAGATTGAATCCATAACAATTAATTAGATGAGTTAAAATTTAGTACAACGTTTATGTGCCTATATTTTTTTCAGAAAAATGCATATTCCGTTTACAAGCCCCTTTGGTAAAGTCAATATTGACTTTGCTTCTGAATTTCTGTTGCCTTTCCCATATAGGTTGTAGTGCTAAACCCTCTAATGAGAGTTGTCAGGCATTTTGGATCTAATTGCTTTCTCTTAAGCTTCTTTTCACTCTTAATTCTGCCTTTATTGTTTCTTTGATGCTGGAGACATATTCCTATTCTTTTGGGCAGAATAGAGTGTTGCATTCTTAACCTTTTCTGTTATTATTATTCTGTTCTATTTCTGTTTAATAGCTAATGATTTAATAGCCAATTAATGAGGCAATTCTTTGATCACTGCTCTAACATCATTATTTTCAGTTAAGACAGTGAATTGAAGCTAGATTAAATAAAAACAGGCTTCCACCCAGGCTCTTATGTGTTTATACAAAATGTGTTTTTCTGGGCAGCGACCTGATGCTGCTCAGAGATGGGCAAAGAGATAAGAGATGAACAAGGGATTTATTTGTGTGCCAGAACTGGGAATCTTCCCTGTTCTCAGCCATTTAACAGTTTAACAGCTTCTCAACCACAGAATATTTCAGCTCCTTTCCCCAAAGCCTACCTAATTAGTGGTAAATATAATAAAACACACCCAGGGGTTTTTGACCTTGCATTTTTAGCATATGATCCTCAAAGGAACCTGACAGCTGAACTTGTTTCAGTTCATCCCAATCCCTGCTTCCTCAATTTGGACATAAATCCTAATACTGACCAACCCTTCCACTGGAACTGGCTGCCCTCTAAAATATTTGGATGGAAACATTCCTGTAAGTCAATGAAAGTCTTATGCTTATTCCATTATTTAAAAGGAACGTTTAATGCTGTTGGCATTTGAGGGAAAAGATTGGCTTTATGATTAAGGCACTGAAATGCTTCTCAGCATTAATTTCCATATCTCTTGCTGATTTCCTGTGTGACTGTGGGTAAACCACTCATTCCCCTTGGAATCTTGCTTCCTTATCTGCTAACAAGGAGAGAAATTCATCCTTCTCCCCTCCTCCACCTGCATTATATGGTTTCTAAAGTTTCTGTTGGCTCTGAATGACCAAAATCCTCATCTTCACCTCCGTGATCTTCTGCCACGGACTCCTCTGTCCCTGTGTCCTGCTTTTCCTGCAAACCCTAAATAAATAATCAGGTTGTGAAGCTGAGAAGAAAGAAATGGTGGGAGCATGGCAGAGGTTGATTACAGAAGGTTTATTGCAGGAGGAAATGGACCCTGAGGGGCTTTGGCATGGCCAGCCTGCAGTTGGAACCTGCAGGTAAGGTTCATGCCCTCCTTTGTAAAAGTGCCTTTAAAAGCCTGAGCTGCAGCAATTCCACGTGAAGTGAAATTCTGAAGACTCTGGAGTCTCATGATAGTTGTAAACATCACCATCAGCATCAAATGAAGAAATTCTAATGAGGACAGCTCCTTAGTCCAAATGTTTATCTCAGTAGTGTTCAACTGAAAGCGAGACAGCTGCCCAATTAATTCATCCTTCCATTAGTCATAACTCCATGTCCTTTGCAAGTTACCCAGAAAGTGACTGATTGTTCCAATTAATCTCTGCAGTCACTCAATGCCTTACACCCTGGACTAATTTAACCTGATTTTTTTTTTTTTTTGGTAGGAGAAAAGGCCCTCAGTAGAACAGCAGGGAGTCAGGGGCCTCCCCCCTGCCCATTTCTGCCCACACATGAATCAGTAGGAGCAGGCTCCCCTGCCCAGCACAGGCACACAGAACAATGGTGTTCAATAATGCCCCGTGAACTCCATCTGTGCCAGAATGTGCCTTCCTTGTTATCTTGCTAGAGGAAAGCTCTTCGATGAATTATTTTTCACCTTTTCATAATTTCCTGTCTAATTATAATGAAAGTAAAATTCAAACCGTTCCTGCCCTCTACTTTTGGAACACAAACCTTATCTTGAACTCTCCATAATTAATGGTAAAACAATAGAAGACCTAATTTTCCTGGCAGCAGCCAGGCAGGCTTTATCTAATGTGCAGAAAAAAACCCCAGTGTAACAAAGGCAGAGAGGTAACAGCTGAAATAGATTAAATCTGAGGAGAGTTCTTTCCTCTTCCAGGCAAAACAGGTGAGTGACTGAGGACCTTGTCCAACAGCCCTGGGCACAGAGTTCTCCAACCCCAGCACAAAAACTGCAACAAGGCTCCAGGGGCAAAAAACAAACGGGGAAATGGAGGGATACTGAGCTTCTCCAATTTAGATGACACTGAATTTTTGAGAACAATTCCTTGCTGCAGACTCATGGCACAATCTTGGGACAATTTACAGAAAGAAGAGCCTGCTTGGAGTTGTTAAATACAGCTATTTATGCAGCAGCTCTGAAAACAAAGCCAGAGCTTGTAATTTGCAAGTTCTGCAGCTGCTTTGCCATTAAAGTGTGTGATCAAGAATGTGATGGACTTGTACATAAAGCAGAGCTGATGTTGTTCCTCCATCTATCATATTTTTGAGTACCTGACTGCTTTATTCTGCGGTCACTCGTGCAGAAATTACCTTCCTCCAGGAGGCCAAACTCTTCCTGGAAGCAGTGAAAATCCTCTCTGCTTGTTTACATGATGGATTTACTTTGGTGCCACTTGGCTTGTTGCACTATGAATTCTGAGCTAGATCTTATTTTCTAAGTGATCTTTTTCTTCAGTGGAATGGCTCAGGTTTGGCAGCCCTGCAGACGAGACTGTCCCCGAGCAGGGGCCAGGCTGGGGCTGCGTGCTGAAAAAGCTTTTGAAGTCTGAGTGTTTAATTTGGTGAGTCCTTCTCCCTGTCCATCCTCCTAATCTCAGCTGATTAGTGGCAGTGAGCTCAGCTCCCTGCACTCAGCTGTGAGCAGCCACAGGTCAGTGCCAGCTCCGTGCCCAGCTGTCCCCAGGAGCTGGCAGGGACGGGCTCTGCAGTGCATGGCACAGCTCCTCGAGTAATGACACCCCTGCTTTATGGCAGGGAACATTCCTCAGCTGAGCAGGAGGATTGCTGGGAGCTGAGGAGTGTTTTTGGGGCTGCTGTGTCTGTCTCAGCAGTGCCACGGCGATGACAAGGACATTCCTGTCCCAGGAGGATTTATTGCAAGAAAGAGTTGTCTCGTTAAACATCTTGCCTTTTGTATCTGTAGGCAGATATGCCTAAGTTAGGGCAATAATGAATTATCATCGAGCTGTTTGCAATTCATCAAACTTACAAATTAGAGCTTCTTGCAATTTCTGGTTATTTTGGACAAAAAGTCCATTCTCTTTGTCCCCGTACAAAGTTCATCTTTATGAGTCATTAGGGGTGGGCAGGGGAGCACATCAGATCTCTCTACAATATGTCTGCTGTTGAATTAAGGAC